TTAAAACAACATTGAGATTCCACCTTACCCCAGTAAGAATGGCTAGCATTAAGAAATCAACCAATAACAAATGCTAGCGAGGCTGTGGAGAAATAGGAACTGTTCTCCACTGCTGGTGGGAATGCAGACTGGTGAAACCACTGTGGAAATCAGTTTGGAGATGCCTCAGAAAATTAGGTCTAGAGGTCCCGTTCAATCCAGCTATTCCCCTTCTGGATATTTTCTCAGAAGATCTAAAAACATCATATCACAACGATATATGTGTACCTATGTTCATAGCAGCACAATTTGTAAAGGTATATTTTGGAAATGAATTTTATTCATTAATAGTCTTCACTGTGAAAAAAATAACTATTATACTACAAATACCACACATTGAAGTAGTTCTAAACACTTACTTTAAATATGTAGGTATGTAAAAAGAACATTAACATTATCTTTAAAGCCTAATGTGTGACTTGATCCTGTCATTACTCTCCTCAAAAGGAACTACAATCCTGAATTTGGTATTTACCCTTTCTTGTAAAGTTCTACGACAAATTTATACTCTAACTAATATTTATTTATCTTGCATATTTCAAACTTTATATAATGGACTCATACTTTATATTTGCATTTTTTGCTCCAGTATATTTCTAGGTTTATGTAATTTCACTGCTCAGAGTTTTCTATTTTATAACTTTTATATAGTAATTTTTCTCACTTTTGATTGATACTGAGTTAAGGTAATTACTAGTATAAAAAGTACTGCTAAAAACACTATGTATATGGACATCTTCATGAAGTATGCCAGGTAACTTTTCACTAGCTGTGTAATTTCCATTTCCAAAAGCAGTATGTGATAGTTTTTAATTTATATTCTCATTGACTTTATATTGTTTTGGTTTTGAAGTGGTATCTCATTGTGATTTTAACTGTTCATTTCCTATTTACTAATGAGGTAGGATATATTTGTCATTAGGGCTTCCTATGTTGTGTTACATGCCTATTTAGAAATAGTTCTATCTATATTCTGAAAATCAGTCCTTTGTTGATTGTATGTATTGTGCATAAAGATAATTTCTTACTAGTAAAACTTTACCTGGGTTTACCTCTTTGAGGGATGATTACATGATACTTAATACATTTTTTAATGGTTATGGTACCATTCAGATTTTCTATACCAGATAATTTTACTAGATTATTTTTTCTAGGAATTTTTCCATTTCATATATATTTTCAAATTATTATGCATAATACCTTTGTATTATCTCTTCATATCTTCATAGCATATATAGACAACCTTTTTTCATTCCTAAGGTTGTTTGTATTTTTTTAAATCATTCTTGTCAAAAGATGGACAATTTGAAAGGTGTTCTTTTCATAGAATCATCTCTTTTTAAAATGTTTTTTCTCTTGTCCTCACCCTATAAGCCAGCCACCATGCTTACCCCACATATATACACATTTGTGGGCCTATGTATGAGACACATACATATGTAGATAACTATACTTGTAAGATAGCCTGCATATTAATTTAAGATTGTGTTTGGTAGAAGCAGTCTGATCCTTGCTTGGGAAATTAAATGAGTGATATTCAGAGTAAAAGAATCCATTGACTGTTAGTGGCAGAGACAGTTCTTTTTTTCCCCCATTTCTTCTCTTTACTTTCATATACTTTATTCTTTTTGTATCTTTTGTAGTTTCTCACGTCAGTTGTTGATTGTATTATCAACCTTTTAAAAATACTATTAGAGTTTCTAAATTTTTCTTGAAACAGCATCTGTATCACATGTTTTAATATATAACATTTTATCTGTCTAACATTTTCTTTTGTGTCTGTTTTGGTTTTTTTCTTTGCTGTATGAGTTCTTTTGGAGTGTTTCTTAATTTTTAAACACGAAACTTTATTCCTTTCATATTTTCTTTTGTATTGTATTTCTCATCTCATTTTTCTTAGGAAGTTATTAATTCTGTTACTCTTCCTTAAGTGATTATTCTAAAAATTTCAATATACATATTTAACTTAACAGAAGCCTAAGGCCAATAAATATCTTTTATGCCCCTTCTGAACAATTTAAGAACTTCAGAACGCTTGAAGTTCAAGCACCCCTTTCTGTTTTATATGCTATTCTTGTCAGTGCATTCCTGTTTTCTTTTGATTGACTTAATCTGTTTCTTTAGTCCAAAAACCTTCCCAGGATGTGTATAATTCTTTTGTTTGTGATGTTTTAAAGTTCTGGTCATTCTGGTTGTTAGAAATTACCCAAAACCAATTTGCTCAAATCTTGGTGTTTTTGTAGGTGTTTTGGTTGTTAATTTAGTATGTATTCAGATTCTGACATAAGCAGGCATTAAAACAGTGAGCCAGCGTGCATAAATATTTGTTATGGCCTGTTCCTTAAGTGTGATGAAGCTTCAGTTCTCTGTTGTTACATAAAATGGTCGTCCTGGGTAGATAAAATATTCTAGAGACAAGATATTGTCTCAGGATCTCCAGAAATTTAGGGATTAAACCTGAGGTACCACTAAGAGATACATATCTCTCCAGAGTTTGTTCTTTCCCCAATGCAAGGATAGAATGCATCTGAATTACTTTAGCCAGTTTGTGTAACTGGAATGCAGTGAACTCCACCAGTGAAACTCCACTTTCCTATTTAATGAGCCACTAATTTCATCAGTGAATATCCACTTCATTTTGATGATCAAACTCATTATTGATCAGATATTAAAACAGAAATCTTCATAGCAGCTGTCTCTAAATATGACCTTTTCAAATGCTAGCAGATCAGTGTTGGAGTGTGAATTTGTAATAGGGACAATTTACTGCCCTTAGAAATGGTTCTTGACTGTGGCTGGATGTGTATTCACCTAAGAAGCTTTAAAAATTCCTGATGCCAGAAGTTCTGATTTAATTGGTCTGGGGGCAGACTGGCTTTTGGGAGTTTTACCAGCATGCCATTATTTCTAATTTACAACCCATTGTGAGAAGTACTGCCCCACTGCTGTTACCACTATATACTTTAAGGAAAATTTCTGACATCATTTTTGTATTTAGCCCTCTGCCTGGAGTAAGACAAGTATTTTCAGCATGTGAAAGAGAAAACGTATTATTCTCTTAGAGTTCCTTAATCTGACTCATTTGTCCCCAGTGTCCTTGCCATACACAAATGAAAAACTAATTTTACTGATTCTTTTGCTGTCTCCCTAAAACTCTTTTTCCTTATATACAAGAGATTTTGTTACTTATTACATACAGAATAAATTATACAAGATTATATTTTCCACAGCTTTTTGTAAACATTTGACAGAGGCTTATAGGTAGTCATTTGACAAAGGATTATGGTATTTAAAATACTCTTTATCATCAATTATAAGCCACGCTTTTTTGACATTTTCCCTTTTTTGAAGTTGGTTTACAATACATTTTATAATTGCTGGCATTTTATCATCACCTTAGTTGAGGAGCAGTCTTTGTGTAGTGGTATATAAACCTTTGTAGACACATTCTGATAAGATGAAGTAGCATCTTAGTGTATTGTTAGTGTGTTGTGGTCATAATTAACTAGTCTAATTGAGAAGCAGCTGAAAAGCTGGACATTTTTATAGGCTAATTTTCTTCCGTCTTTTTAAGTTTATTTTCTATTGTTAGGTATTAACAGCATCATTCTCTGTAATAGTTATTTTAAAAAGCCTCTGGTGCTATTAAGGACAGCAAATGATCCCTCCCCACTTTGGCTTTTTGGCCATGTCTGGGAACTGAATAGACAAGGATTCTCCTTCCTAGTAAAAGAAATTATCTCAATTCTCTTATCTTTTTCTAAATCACACTTTTTAAAAGTATATGAAGCTTTCCCCCTATAATAAAGTTGTTATACACATCTTCATATGTGTGTTTATGTATATTTCTGAGGTAATACTTTACATCAAGTTTTTTAAACTTAAATTCAAATTTTAAAAATTTAAAACTTGATATTTAGTATTACATAGTATATTTTTGCCATTACTTGGTGGGCATGTCTGGTCATAGATATTTGTGATTTCCATTTTTATTCAGGTTTGAAAAGAAAGAGGTAGTGAACAGCCTTTGGGTAAAAAATGTGTTTGGGCTATTTCCTTGTGAAAGACTTCCACAAGTCAAATTACTGGGTCAAAAAAGCATATGAATATTTTAAGTTCTTGATACCTTGACCCACTATTGTGGTACAGTTGAAATTTAAGAATTTTTAAGGTCTCCTTTAAAATTTCTTCATGCATAGATTAAGGTGGCAGTTTCCTCATAAAATAATAAGAGGGGTGAAGCAGACTTA